AAAATGGATTGAAGAAAAATATGTAACCAAATCATGATACAAAATTGACATTATAGCATTAATGCTAAATAAATCTTCAACAACAACAGCTAAATGGATCAAGTCAGTCAAGCAGGTCCATACCTACAATTAAAATTTTGAATATTTAGCAGGCCGGAGTGCGACAAACTTTGAAAAGACGCATCTGTTGAAAATATTTCCCCATCATTCTGTTTCACGGGAAGATCTATGATAAGTGAAAAATGCCTAATAATTCCCGAGGCTGACAGCTTATAGACATACAACAACAAATAATTGAGATACACTCTTCGTCAACCCCCAATTTTTAACTCCTACACAAATGTTTCTGTGTGTTTCGGAAACGTCAAAAAAACGAAGTTTGAGCGGTTTTTTTACTTCATTTTTGTTCTTTTTTTGCCCTTATTTCCAGCGCCACTGGTCCGACTGTCAAAAATTACAAAACCTTTTCGTCCTTGGAGGAGTAACCTTGTGTTAAATTTTATCAAAACCCGAACAGTACTTCCCAAGTTAGAGACGGGCTTATTTATGATGAGCAGACAGTCGGACCGAAATGAGTGCTACGCGGCTGCTATGATGATCCCAAAGAAATTTTGTTAATTCAATTTTTGAACTGCCTAACATTAGTAGAACTGTGACAAGCTTCCTCTTGTAGATTGTTCCACATTCTCGACACCCTCGGGACAAAGGAGCGGTCGTATCGGCCAGTTCTGAATGTACGAAGTTCAACACGGTTAGGATGGAACGCCAAAGTCAGGCGGGTCTGTCTGGCAGGCAGATTGCGCGGCGGCATCATGGAAGAGAGCTCTGAGGAGCAAAGCCCGTTGGTGTAGCGATACAAAAGAGCTAGATCACCGACCGGTCGCCGGTGCGAAAGAGTCCCGAGACTGTCTGTTAGAGAAGAGCATGGACAATGTAGTCGGGGCGGCAGCACCTCAAATGTGTGAGCAATACTCGAGGCTAGGCCTTATCTGGGCCTTGTATAGAGTGAGAAGGTCATGCGGAGAAAAGTACTTCTTAGCCCTAAGCAAATAGCCTAGCTTTTTCCCAGCAGCTACAGCTATTGACGAGATGTGTTCGTGCCAGATCAGGTCCTCGGTGATCTGGACTCTGACCAGCCGAAATGGATAGCTCTTTGGCAGAACTCGCCCATCCGTCGAAACTGGATGAGCGCCAGGATGCTTCTTGTACGTCAAAGTACGGTACTGTGTTTTGGAAGCATTGAACTGTACAAGATTGTTGCGTCCCCAAGCACTGATAGCCTCCAGGTCTCTTGTCAGAGAGGAAGTCGTCGCTAGACTTCTTTTTTCCAGCTCAGCGGCAGAGATCGGCTTGTCACTCTGAATTCCTGCATGTAGAGTGCTGTCACCAGAGAAGCTGTGGATTGGGTTCATCGTGCAGGAAAAAAGGTCGTTGATATGTAAGAGAAACAGTGTCGGAGCCAAGACCGAACCCTGGGGAACACCCGCGTTGACGTTGTGGGATGAAGAGGAGAACCACGACGTAGGTTCTGTGTGCCTTGATCTTCTACTGGCGAGCAGTGTCAGACGATTTGTTAAACCAGCCGTTGGACCCTGGTTAGGCACTTTCACTGTGTGAGGGATGTATTCCTCCATTCCGACGTGGATAATTTCTGTTATCGAAGGACAGACAGCCGACGCATCCGCGTTACTAAAACAGACATCTCCCCAAGGAAACCTAGAGAAGAAGACTCTGAGCCCCTCCCAGTCGGCCATGTCCGTAATGCCAAGTTTTGCGGCCTGTACGAGTTTCTGCTGCCACAGCGGGTTCTGACCGAAACCTAACCTCCACAACACCGTGGTCTGAGTTACCCAGGGGGGCAGGACAGAAGTGCTTTAAGGGACAGGATGCGTGGTCAGAAAGAGTTCCAGCAGGTTACTGGCATGTGAGGAGACGCGGGGGAAAAACGTAGGGCTCGTCACCAGCTGGGTCAGCCTTCGAGTAAGAGCAAACGCTTCGATGGCACGACCTGCTGCATCAGTCAGATTCAGATTCATTTATTGATCCAGTTAGATCTACATTGTAGACATTGGATAAGTCGGTGTATACAGATTAAAATATAGATAAAAATATAAAAATATAGATTAAAGCAAGTAAAATACAAATAACAATATAATAAATAAGAACATAAAAAAACCTAGGTCATAAAAACCGCAGCCCGATAGCTTGTTCCGCAAACGTCTTTTGAAAAGCCCTACGGACTTTACGTTTTTGATCTCCGGAGGTAATAAATTAAAAAAGTATATTCCTGCTGTTATGGGAGATTTTGAATGAAACTTATGATATGACACATACCTAACTATATTATTTTTATTACGAGTGCTGTAGTCATGGATGTCAGTATGCTTAAGATAATCATTTCTGTGCTGAAAAATATATGTCAAAAGATTATAAAGATATATACATGCTACTGTAAGTATTTTGTGTTTAACAAATATCTCACGACAGGAGGATCTGGACCGTATTTTAAATATAATGCGAATGATTCTTTTTTGTAAGACAAACACTCTAGAGATTTCACTAGCCTGGCCCCACGCAGTAATGACATATGAAATGACATAGTGTACACATGCATAGTAGACATCCATTAATGCTGAGGTGTTTAACATCCTCCCTAGCGTAAGTATTAAATACAGACTTTTTCCAAGTTTCTTACATACGGAATCAATTTGCTCTGTCCATCTTAAATTGCAATCAAAGCTTACACCTAAAAAAAACAGTTTTTTTTTGGAAGTTACAACTGTCTTGCATTGAAGACTGAAATTAAAATTTGACGGAATTTTTGGGTTCATAAAATATTCAACTGAAACATCTTGCGATGAGTCAGCTAAAATGATATTTGTGTCGTCTGCATACAATAGTAATTTTCCGTAGGATAAGTGTGAAGGCAAATCATTTATGAAAATCGAGAAAATAAGTGGTCCAAGGACGCTGCCTTGAGGTGTGCCCCAATCTAAATTGAATTCATCAGATTTTTTATTAGCGACAGTAACATAAAATTTTCTATTCTCTAAAAAGCTAACTAGCCATTGATCCAAACATCCGCGAATGCCAACATGATGAAGTTTATCGGCCACAAATGACGAACTTACACAATCAAAGGCCTGAGACAAGTCAAATTGGATACTCACTACGTAATTACCTAAATCAAGTTTATCACAAACATACTGAACATACTCGATAATGCTTGTTTCAGTTGAGTAGCCTGCCCTGAAACCATGTTGAGCATATGTGATAATAGCAAATTTAAGAAAGTAATTTTCAATTTTCATTGCAACCACTTTTTCAATGGTTTTCGAGAAAATACTTAATAGCGCCATTGGCCTATAGTTTTCAACATCACAATTTTCACCTTTTTTAAATCTCATAATTAACGATGCCAGTTTAAGAGATGTTGGAAATTTACCAGCAGCAACCGATTCATTAATGATGACTGGTAATACTGGGGCAAAGATATCTATGTTCTGTTTTACTAAATAGATTGGAATTTCATCAGGCCCTGTGGATTTCTTGTCTGGCATATTACTTATCACAAATATAACATCATCAGTAGTGACGTGGGTGAAAAACATTGATTGTTTGGCTGTTTCACCAGTAGTGCAGGAATCCGACAAAACGGTAAAATTTTTGGCCATTTTCTTGCCAATTACAGTGGATACATATTTTCCAAAAAAGTTGGCGATATCAGTAGGGTTGGTTATAGTTACGTTATGCAGACTAATTCTGTAATAACTGCATTCTTTTATTTACCTTTTATTGAATTGACAATATTCCAAGTAGTTTTCTGTTTGTTTGAAGATTTGCTGATTATAGTGATAGTAACTAATCCTTTCGTCACGAATAGTCTTATCAACCTCTTTTCTTAAAGATTTAAATTTTGTTTCCAAATTAGTATCTTGAATCTCTTTACGCAGCCATGCTAGGTTATTCAATTGATCTATTTTTTCTCGAAGTGACTTAGAGAATTTAATTTTCTTATGAGGAGAGCTGTATCGCTCATTATGAACAATTTTACGCTTAAAGGCTATGTCACCAAACCCATGCTTCAGTAATAAATAGCGAAATTCCCTCAATGAATTGTAGTTCAAATTTCTAATTACCCGTGTAGTTGGGTGTTCAGTGGTATTCATGGTATGATATATGCTACAAAAAATAAATTGTCCGGTATGGTCTGACAAACCAGGGTCAACGTTTTTTACATTTACTATTTCTTGACAGTTATTAATTATGTAGTCGATTGACGATTTGCTGATTCCATATCTGGTAGAGGCAATTCGAGTGTACTCAGTTATATGAGACTCAAGCTCAAATGATCCAAGCAGATCGCCTAGTAATCTTTTTGAAAGATCATTTCCAGAATAATCTATGTTCAAGTCGCCTGCTAAAATTACATATTTGAAGTTACTTGTCGCAAACGAGACAATAGAGAATAGTCTTTCTAAGAATATGTCAATAGAACTCTTATTGGGTTGTGGGGGCCTGTAGATACAGATTATGCCAAATATTTTCATAGAAGATACTGCACTGACTTCAATAACCATTTCTAGAGAAAGGCTGTTTAGGTACTGGATTGGAGCACACAGATGTAAGACATTTCCTCTGGAAAATATTGCCGTGCCTCCATGTATACGATTAGTGCGTGCAAAACAACTTACCAGACTGAAGCTTCCAAGACCAAGGTTTTGAATAAGATTATTATCAAGCCAATGCTCTGATAGAAGTAACACATCAATACTATTGTAATCCAAAAAATATTCTAAACGGTCCATTTTATTAAATAAACCTTGAATGTTTATGTTGAAGATTCTCAACTTGTCCGCACCATCGTTGCATTCCTGGCTTGAGCCCAACCAAAGCTCATTATGGACATTGAAATCACCGAGAAGAACTACCTCTGAGGCAATACTTCCTCGCCAGTGGCGTAGGAAATCAAAGAACAGAAAAATCGTACTAATACTTACCGGATATCTGGTGAAGTAGGTTTTAACAAAGCGGTCCTCTGCCTTGTAGAGTGTAGACATAGTTCCTGGTGCCAGAGGTAACTTTATTGCTATCCTGCCCAGTTCATTAGCCTCGGCTTCACTTCCATCTTTTCTCAGTATTTTTACTAAAAAAGATCCCATATTACTAAAATTTTTAACCAAAAAGTGGGAGGAGTAGCAAGAGTGATACAATTTGTATAATTTTGGGGTTTCAGAAGTTTCAGATTTTACATTATGCCACATAATTTCCGAGCTTCAACTAGAATGTTACGACGCGTTTGACATCATCAAACATTCACAAAGGGAAAGCGTAAAGCTGGGTATAATAACCCAGAAACTTCATAAGCTAACACCATTATTCCTCATACCAGGGAAAAGCGTGTAATATATACAGAAAGTTCCATTTTTTTTTAAGAAAAAGTACTGAACATTCAAAAAATTAAAAAATGTATGAATTAGGTTAAAATTGAGTATATTAAATAAATTTTGTCTCAAAATGTACGTCTATCCTGTCAAAATAGCAGTCATAGCAGTCATTGAATATATTGAAGAAAATGAGATATTGACAAAATTTCAAGCAGGATTCAGAAAAAAGTATTCTACTGAAACAGCAATTCAAATGGTAGTAGAAGGATGGAGACGAAATATGGATGAAAAAAAGTTTACAGTAACATTATTCTTAGATTTCAAGAGAGCATTTGAGACTATTTACAGGGAGAAATTGTTAACGAAATTGCATTGCTATGGATTTCAAGTTTCAGCATTCAACTTATTACAAAATTATTTAATCAATAGAAGTCAAAGATAAAATTGGCAATACTTTATCAAACATTAAAAACATTTCGGTAGGTGTGTCACAGGGTAGCAAATTAGGTCCATTACTATTTATTTTATATATTAACAATATTCCTGATATTTTACAACACTGCAGAATTCAACTATTTGCTGATGATACATTAATATACAGGGTGGCGCATCGAAAACGAAACGCATTCACTGGCAGCTCAGTTTTTTTTTGGAAAAACGATCGGCCCCGTCGATTTTGTTTTCGAGTGGGGCACAAGTTTGGCAAGAAATCACGTTAGCACGTGCAGCCCCCTAAGCGGGGGTGACACCACCCCCAAAATCTTAAATGGGAAGGGAGGTCGAGTGATACCTTATTTTAAAGGTCTTTCAATTCCCTTTATAATGTTGTAAAATACATGAGAAGATTTATTTATTTAAAGCTTGAAGTAGACTTTAATAGGTACACCAGATTAGTTTGTACTACTTTCAGAAGAAAATAAATTACTTCTGTAGAATTTCGCATAGCGTAAGCGATTATTCTAAAAAAATTGTGTACAACACTATCATTCTTCCTCATTTGTTATATTGTTCGACTATTTTGTTCACTGTAAATGAAACTGTATTTTCAAAATTACAAATTCTACAAAATAAAGCTATGAGAATCATCTTAAATAAAAATAAATTTACTAGAATAAATTTTATGCTGAAAGAACTACAATGGTTAAATATCAAAAATTTCATAGCCTACTTGGTTTTCATTTTCATATTCAAGTTAAAAAATCATCTTCTACACAAATCACAATTTTATTGTATTAAACAATGAGTGCCACAATTACGTATATTCTACTAGAGGAAGTATAGACTTCCATTTACAAAACTTCAGTAGCAATATAACGAGCAAGTCAGCATTTCAAAAGGGATTGTACGAATTTAATAAATTGAGTAATGATATCAAGATGTGTGTCAGTTTGAAAATGTTCGAAGGGAAATTGAAAAAATATCTCATGGAAAACCAGAATTCCTAGTAGTGAAATTTTGTATAAAAATATGTAGTCTTGAAGACATAATATATTTTGTGATATACTGTGTAATATGGATATTGTAGCATTAATGTTAAATAAATCTGAAACAAACAAACAAACGAATATGTAGTCAGTCAAACCTTGGTATCTTTTTAAAATATCAAACACACAGTAGCTCACCAACTAATGATTTAAACCCCTTAAGCGTGTTATATCAACTTAATTCGTTCAAATGACCTATAGGAATATGTAATGAATAGTAGGGCGTTCCATTTGAAAGAATCGACTTTGTTATATTCACATTCAGGCAATAATAACCATGATTTTCTAGTAACATATATTCCAAAGCTTTAAGAGATTTGGTTCCAAAAGGCAATTTTAAACCAGTGCGACCCTGTCACCCTCCCTTGCCGCAACGTATGATGCAGTAAGACTATGTGAGTCAGTATCCAAACCAGGTGTTGCGTGGGGTCTGAGTTAACCTAGTTTATAAGCAAACTGCATTTGAAAAATCGAAATTGACATATTCCTAGAGCAATAACTACGATTTAATATGAGCATCTTCAAGATCCTGATACTCCGCGAGTGTACTCAGAACGTCACCGTCATCCTCGATGTTTCTTTCCATTAGAACTGCATAAGTTTGTTTATATCGTGAAAAGCCGTCTGGTTGAATATAGTTGAAGACCTAGACAACCCCAAATGTTGCAAATTTAGGAAGAGGTAAACAAATTCGTGATTTTGAATCGAACAGCGACAACTTCAGTGTGTACAAACAAAACATGTGACAGGGCAGTACTTGAAATTCCATGCCAAATGAATTTTTTTGGTATTGCAAACTTAGTTGACTCTAAAAAGGAAAGTTCCAACTTCCAGGACACCCTGTATAATTACCCATAGAATTTGAATATTTTTTTTAGGGCCAACAGTCGGTCTTTACACGCTGGGGACACCCTGTATATAAATAGAGGTGGTGATAGTTAATACAATAGTCACCCAACTAACAATTATCACTCCTATTAGAGTTGCAAGAATGATTATACAGTATTCCTTACACAGCATTGTATACTGTAAGAACATTGGCAAAATCCTCTTAGAACAGCTATACAAGCCGAATGGGCACACTTAATAGCCCACTTCAGTCATTTAAAAGGTTGTATAAGGGCTGCAGGTAACAGTTATACAACAAAAGTGTAAGCCTCTTGCAGCCGCTATAGAACATTTGCGTCAGTGCAAGATTCAGTTTTTGTCAACTATACAACTATTCTGTTACGTGATTCTACTTTATTGCAACCAAAGTCTTTCTTATGTATTGAATAGACGAAGTGAAGAATATACAACTAACACATTACAGTCATATTGTTTACTTACAAATCGGCCATTGTGAATTTCATGCATAGGTATATGATAAACTTCTTCACTGTGATATAGGGCTATTGAATTACTTGCGCAGCAAATTTTATTGTGATTATCGTGCAAAGTAGTTACTCAATTTCTACGGGCTTCGTTTTTGATTCATATTTTAATAATGATCAAAAGTATGCCTAGATTTTTAAGATGGAAAACTGAACTTATCTTCGATAAATCTTCCACAAATCCTATATTTAGACACAATTACACTAATGTTTCTCACTTTATATCTGTAACTTCGAACTGAAACATAATTATTTAATATTAAATAGAGGAATAAATGTTTGCCCAATATGGCGAGTGGTTATGTATAATCATGGCATCGTTCATGTTGTCTTTGGTTTATTAGAATATTTTGGTGTTGCCTGCAGGTGTTATACAACAATTTGACAAATGTCTGAAATGAAATACCGGCAGAGTCGAATGATTTACCCAGAATTTGTACCACATCTGTATCTTCTGTTTGAACAGTTGATAAAACCTTTTGGACCAATATGCACGCGTTGTTTGTCTTAAAACATTGGTTATGGCATTTTAACAAAAATATGACAGCAGAAAGTTAGGTTATGGTGAAGTTGTATACCAACATATTTAACAACAGATGTATGCCGAGCACAGCAATTTTGTACTACAAAAGTTGTAATATTGTTGCATATGTACAGCCTTTAACAGTTACTAAACAACAGTTGTATAAGTGATTCCGTTGGGAGCAATTTGTTGGCTAAAGTAGTAAATTTGCACAGCAAAACAACAAGACACGGGTTTGTTTTATAAACGTTACCATGAATGCCACAACACAACCATTTTGACTACCGTGCAAATATGCCGTACAAAATAGTTGTATAAACGTTTATGCAACAGTTAAAAGTTTGTCCTAAAAGGTGTTGTATCACTATGCTATAAGAATATTTTAAACACCTCATTTTAGAGCAAATATGTTGCAGAAAGCAAATTTACATTCCACACAACATTAAGCCAGCATTTTGGTGTTCAGGCAACAACAATAGAGAGCTTTTATGTCTGAACGGTTCTTTTACCAAAAGCTTATAGCACTACTTTGCTAGTTGGGCAATATGGAAGCAGAAGGAAGTCGGCATGGGTATTATGTAAAAAATCTATAAGACGTCAAAAAAAACCTATAAAATGTCATCTTCCAAACTATTTAATCTTTAGAGTGCAAACAGTCATTCCACGTTTGCTCACTAGGATCGTTGTCAGCGTTAATCTATGGAGGAATGACTCAACTACACGCATTGTTGGTTGCATATGTTTTGTGAAGCCGAGTAGTCTGTAGTTCTCATCTCTGAGAAGAAATTTGGTTGAATAGCAAGATCGCATCTGGATGATTATGTGTGTAAAATCAGTGACATTTCCTGGGTGAGAAAAACATTACTGAATGTGCTGCCTATGAAGTATATTTATTAACTGTGCCCGACGGGTTATTTATATGCTGTCCTTTCTGAAGACAGGTTATGTTCAAAGTTATAAATTACGATTTTTTTACGTTTTTTTGTGTTTTCAGAAACTTTGGGGAGAATTACGGGAAATCACCACCGCGTGCGCGTTGTGTGTAATTACTGTTAGAGCATGTATATGACTTGTAATTCGACAGTGAATACAATAATTTATCTCTCTCAATTTTGAAATTCAGCAAATTTGCATATCTAATTTCCAGAATGGAAAAAGTGGATTCGAAACTAATTTCTAGCTTTGAATCTCAAGTAAGTGTATTTGAGACAAGAATCCAATGGGATTATCATCAACACATATTATTTGTACACAAATCCTCACTATGCACCTATGCTTTGCTGTTTCCTTCTAGCTATAGTATACAACTTACAGCTTGGACCTGAAGTGATGCCATCTGTGAAGCAGATTTTATATGACATCAGAGCCAAGCATTGATAACTGAAGCCTCATGACGTTTAGGCAACACGTACAACCACAAAACGAGTTCACAACGTGTCCATCAGCTAGTGCTAAGTTAACATCTTCTAGAAAAACCTACATTGTCACAAAAAACGGCTCAACTATACTTTAGCGCATATCGCAAATATTACATTTCTTATTTTAAAATGAAAGATTATGATATAACTTGCACGAAAGTATCATTTTTTCTTTAAGGGACCCTCTGCTTGCTATTTTATAGAACTTCAAAGTTACATTTTGTGTGGTAATGCTGTGGTATAAAATACTGCTTTAAGCTGATTTTTTCTTGTTTACACAAAAGATTGCTCAAAATTCTGTAAATATAACATACAATGAAAATTACTGTGACACTGTTCATCGCAATAATGCAATTTTGCATTATTTTAATGATGAAAATAGTTCATTGTTAAGTAGTAAATTCTTTTATTTTAGATAAATATTCCCATCACTACACCACCATCCACCACCATCACTATCATACTTTCTCCATCTAGTTGCGATGTTGCCAAATCATGGATAGTTATACACCCTAATTTGGTTTGTCAAATTCTTATTTATATACTAAATCCACTTCGTGCCCTACCATAGCGTTACCTAGACACTTTTTTGAAGAATGCCTTACGCCCTGCACAAAAGTACTTCGGTTATTGTTTTTCCTGTATTATAGTTATTATTATTATTATTATTAAACAACAAATTTGAGTTGAGTACAAGTACTATAAACTCAAACACAAAAATAGATAATAGTGTACAGACAAAAGAAATATAACAATTTGACAATCTTAGCACTTCTGAAGTAGACATATACAGAATGGGAACAATATGTTAAGCACTGCGGTGTCTATCGTAATTGTTTTTGAAACTGTTGACGGATTCCGAGTTCACTACATAAGATGGAAGACTGTTCCATGCATCGAAGACACGGTTTGAGATGAAGCGCTGACGAGTAGAGGTTCTAAAAGCTTCCTTCTGCAATTTGAAGTTATGGCCTCTGAGACTGTTCGTTGCCAGACGAAACAGATGCGACATGTCCACACCAAACAAATTATGTAGTACTCTGAAAGTGATGATGAGATCTCCTCGTACTCTTCTATCAGCAAAAGCAGGTAGGTTATATAGCTCGAGGCGGTCTTCATAACTTGGCCTACGTGTGCCATATGGCATACGTGTAGCACGACGCTGAACGGCCTCTAATAAGCTGCTATCGCGAACAAGGTTTGAATCCCATACCGGACCAGCAAACTCCAGTAGGGGTCGTACGAAAGTTGTGTACAAAAAGGAGGAGGTACTAACGGTGCAGCCGCTAAATGACATTTCCATCATATATATGTATAGCAACCGCTTTGCCTTAGAGGTTATGTTCTGAATGTACTCCGACCAGGTGAGCCGGCCATTAACTGTCAGACCAAGATCTGTGTGATGAAGAACAGTCTCTAAGGTATGTTTGCCAATCTTATATGTTAAGTTAGGATTATTCTTTCCCAGGTGGAGAACGTAGCATTTCGATAGATTTAAAGGCAGGAGCCAGAGTTCTGACCACTTTCTGATCAGCTTGAGGACTTCTTGAAGCACAGATGAGTTCAGGACAGTGTTATAGACTTTAGTATCATCTGCATTGATGGAACACATAGAATAAAGTCGGGTGAGAAGGTCGCTTGTATAAAGAAGAAAAAGTATTGGCCCTAGCACAGATCCTTGTGGAACTCCACTAGTAACACGATGACTAGAAGAATAGGCGTCTCCAACACGGACGGAGAAAGATCTGTCTAACAAAAAAGCTTCAATCCATAACAACAAATTTCCCCTGATTCCGAGATGTTCAAGCTTGTGCAGGAGCCTTTTATGCGGAACTCGATCAAAAGCTCTGGAAAAATCCAGAAAAACCACGTCGACCGGTTCATTTGCGTCTAAGGATCTGGTCCAATTGTCAATGCAGTGTAACATGTTGGTGATAATTGATCTACCAGGAATAAAACCATGTTGGTTGCTAGGCAGCAGGTTGTCCTTGAACGCAAAGGTCATAAGTTGTTCCTGGACGATCTTTTCGGCTATTTTCGCAGCTATAGGCACAAGACTGATAGGACGGTAGTTTTTCGCAGATGTTTTATCTCCTTTTTTGTATATAGGTGTCACAGATGCAGTACGCCAACAGGAAGGAAGGATGTGATTTTGAATCGAGGAGTTGAATATAATGCACAGGGGGTATGCGAGAGCTGAGGCACAGGACTTCATAACGGCCCTTTCCAGGGGACGAACAAGTTTTCAGTTTAGTAAGGTGCCTCTCAATGTCCTGAGGTTGAAAATCTATGCTACAGATGGTCGCTAGGCATCTATGAGGGCTGGATAAATTCGGAAGAGTACCATCACCATCAGGTTCATTCACAAAGTCTTCACTGAAAGCATTGGCAAGAAGATTGGCAGATTTTTCGGCATCAGTAAGTAGGTGGCCGTTGGGATCACGGATTTGTGGGGAAGAAACCTTAGAGTTCAGGGTGGATCTCAAGTATCTAAACAACTTCTTCTTATCTTTCGATAATACAAGATTTTGCTCATAATTGCACTTGGCGTTTTTCAAGTTCTTCGAAAGGATGTTAGAGAAAGATCGATGAGATACATAATCATGTTGTAGTTTACTTCTTAGGAATCTTTGCCATAACGCTTTTTTATGCCTCAACATCCTTGAGAGGTTATGGTTAATCCAAGGCTTTCTTGGGTGACTGAATATCTTCTTTGTGGTCGTATGCCTAGTGACTTCCAGCTGGATTCGACGAGAGAATATATCCCACATATCTTCAGTGCTACGTTGTGCAAGCAGGTTGGACCAGTTTATTTCAGACAATGCTCGATTGAGAGCACTGTAGTTTAATAGCTTCACAGTTTTGAAATGTCTACGTGATGGAGTTTGTACATAGAATTGAAGTGAGGTCAATAAGGTACAGTGATCCGACTTGCCAAAAGGAGGTAGGTAGTCTAGACTGGAAACAAAGTCAGGATCATTTACAAATATCAGGTCGAGAGTTCTGGGAGTGTGGCCTTCTCTGAATCTCGTCGGATGATCTACGAGTTGGAGGATGTTCGACTTACGCATTAAATCAATATAAGGGGCAGAAGGAGAGTTGCATTCTGGTAATGTTGTCATGGGCCAGCTGATGTCACATAAGTTGAAATCACCAGTTAACAGAATGTTTGAATTCTTGGTTAGAAGTTCTTCGATGAATTTACACAAATAAACATCACCAGCACAGGGACGCGGTCTGTAGATACAGGCTAATACAAAACTGAAGTTTGGCCGTGTTAGTTCCAAAAAGAGACTGTCGATACCATCGAAGCTCTTGGAAGTAGTAGTTATTGTGAAATTGTCAGCAAATTCGGTACGTACATAAACACAGACCCCACAATACCCCGGCGTGCGAGGGGAATCTACCCTATACAAACAGTAACCAGGCAAATTAACAACATAGTCAGGTATATTAGGGCTGAGCCAGGTTTCTGTCAGACAAAGAAACGAAGGTTTGGTTCCATCAACAAATGCTTGCACTTCGAGAAGTTTAGATACCAGTGACTGAATGTTTGTGTAGCACACCGACACCTCGGTTAGCAGTTTTTTGATACAGAAGATTGCTGTGCAACAATATTGACAATGGATGGTCTACCCTTTACATATTTAATCGTGATATTGCGTTCACTAGCCGTTAGTTATAATCTATTTACTTTTTGTATGTATGTACTTGAAGAATTATTTAAAGTGAAGCTGATGACACAAAATATATCTAATTAAATGTGATATATGAGAAATAACTGAAAAAGTAGCTGTTGCTAATCACTAAATAATGGAAACATAACAAAGAACATTGCAAGTTTTTTGATGATTTGATGAAATGATCGTTGATCTTTATTTAACTATAATGTTGGACGATGATATGTTGGGTGGACCTAGCGAGGTGGTCCAAATCGACGAATCGATGGATGGATTTTTTTATATGCAATGACCGCTGGTGCCTTTTGTATGTTCTATGTCACGTGAGCCGCTTGTGCATTTTCCACTATTTAGACACATACTGTTCAAAATTTCATCTAGTTTTCTGCAAATATTGGGTCAACTTCTCAAAAAACAAGCTATTTTCAATAAATTGAGACTTTTATTTTGCAAATAACCTCATTTTTTATCACGTATTTCATCCAAAAAAAAGTACAACTTGGCAGCAATGGACACCATTTATCTTATCTGTCAAGAAATGGACGTTATAAAATGGCCATTCAGAATTGTTTGTACTTTCAAATATTTCTTATAAACGCAAAAACTTTGATCTCATTGAAAATACGCGAAAAAAAAATGGTTAAGGAATTTCAAGAAGACGTTGAAAAATAACAACACAACACCTCTTCACAGTTTACCAAGTAAATACCATCATTTACGTATGTATTTTGAACTGTTATTTTAGCTAATAAGCTAATGTGTAATAACACGGCTGATTTTGAACCTTTTTTTTTGCAAAAAACAACGATTTTTCACAGTTTCACATCTATTTTCCTTAGTAATATATAGTGTATGTTATATTTTTATAACTTAGAGTATCATTTTGTTCAAAAAGCAAAAAAGCTTACAAAACAGTATTATCAGCACCAAAAATGCAACTTCGAAGTTCTATAAAATAGCAAGCAGAGGGTACCTTAAAGAAGAAATGATATTTTCGGGCAAGTTACATCCTAATCTTTCATTTTAAAGTAAGAAATGAAGTATTTGCAAATGTAAAAAAAAATCTACTTAATCCCACTTTTTAAGATACGTAGCACCCGTGCAGTTTTCCATGTCCTCCGTGAAACTGCAAATTAGTACGGAACTCAAACTTTCTAGTTTGGGTGCTCCTTAGCCATGAAAACCGAGGTACATAAGCCCACTTTTCAGTTCCTGCATAGAAAAAAATACTCACGGTTATATCCAGGAAAAGGCAACCCCGTAGTCAACCCTTCATCCTCACAGACGTTCTTCAGTCCTTGACACGTCCCTGTGATAGCGGATCCTGTCTCCGTCTGCCACCAATGGTTGGATACAGGCACCCCGAAGATCCGTTCTGTCCAGGTTTTGGTCGTGAGGTCCAGGTGCTCGCCAGCCACCCATATCCTTTTCAGGCTGGAAATGTCATACTCGGCACCGTATTTGCCTTCAGGATCTGTCTGCTTCAGAAGACGCATCACTGTCGGGATCGTGAAGACGGTTGATACGTTGTAGTCGTTTATAATTCTGGAAAGGGAGTTTTGCGTCAAACTTGTAAAAGCTACGAGATATCAAAATGAAATTTGGGAAGAAAGCATCGAAATATTAAATATGCAGAACTTGCCCAAAACTTTCTAGGCAAGTAATATTCAGGCATTAGACCGTAAGACAGGTGCTCGAAATCAACATAGCTTCTGGTCTGGACTTGACTCCTGTGGTACTGAAGAGATGTGCAACGGAGTCCGCTCCAGTTCTTTCGCATCTCTTCCGGGTATCTTACGAATCCGGGAGTTTCTCAGAAAACTGGAAATTTGCTCATGTCTTTGTTTCGATGGATGGCCGATATCTACCAAAGAGAGCCGTTCATTTCGGCTGGTCGGTGTCCAGATCACCGAGGACTTTGGCATGAACACATCTCGTCAATAGATAAAAGCTAGGTTATTTGTTTAGGGCTAACAAGTGATTTTCTCCGCATGTGCGCCACCATGACTACATTATCCATGCTCGATGCTGTTCAGAAGATGATCGATGAGTCTCGGGACCCTTTCGCACTGGTGGGCCGTCGGCGATCTCGTTAGAACTGATGCGACCGCTCCTTTGTCCCAGATTGTGAAATAATCTGCATGAGGAGGCTTTTCCCAGTTCTGATAACGTTAGGCACTTCAAAAATTGGATTAACAAACTTCCTTTAAGCTCCACATAGCAGCCGCGGTGTCCTGGCATTTAGGTTTCTGCCTGCACTGCTGTTTCGGTATCAAAAAATTAAAAAAATGTAAAACGACCAAAATATTGGAATATAAACGTTTATCAAGCTTTCTCGTTAAAACTAAACAAATCATTACATTTTGATTTTGCAGTAACGTTTTGATGTTTTGGTCAGCATTTTCAAGATTTGTGTAATTGTCGCCCTGTATAAAATTAGATAATACGAAGAAATATTATTGCGACGATGTTAGCGTTATCCTCAACTGCTTCTGGTTATCTCACACGTAACCTAAACCAAGTATGTCCTCCATGCTTCTTTGAAACGGGCTTGTGTGTATATATTTCTATTTCACTTTGTTCTTTAATTATATAGCTATCAACTATACTAAGTGACATATAAATCCGAACACCCAGTTTAAATGGTTTTATTTTAATAAAATTTTGTAGTAGTACTTAATGAAGCATAATAAGTAAATGATGTGCTACGCATTCTCCAACGCGCCTAGGCATGCTTCTGATCAGGTGGTCAATGTCCTCCTGTGGTATCTCATTCCAGGCAACCACCAACTCCTCTCGAAGTGCTTCTAGAGTCTGAGGAGGACGTTGCAAATTGAGCAATCCCCTACCCATCATATCCCACACGTGCTCAATTGGGGATAAGTCGGGAAATCTTGGTGGCCATGGTAACAATGTGACATCATTATGTTGAAAGAAGTCTATTGACTCTTGCAACATGTGGTCGGGCATTATCTTGTTGGAAAGTTGGATCTGCCAGGGTGTCAAGATAGGGTAAAACATGGGGTTCTAGAACTTCGTGGATATAACGCTGCGCGTTCATGTTACCTCTGATGAAGATTAAAGGTGACTTGGAACCATAAGCTATAGCACCCCAAACCATAACTCCAACTGTGTGAAGAACATGTCTTTCAACAAAAAACTGTGGATTCCTCCTTTCACCACGTCGCCTTCTAACCCTGGCACGACCATCGTGCATGCCTAAACAAAATCGGGACTCGTCACTAAAGATAATACTGTTCCATTCCTGATCCCAGAGTGACCGTTGTCTGCACCACTCAAGGCGATTACGTCGGTGTTCTCGAGTTAAAGGGAGGACCCAGTGTGGCCGGTATGAAAACAAGCCAAAACTTCTCATTCGTCGGTAAACACTTCGCATGCCAATAGGTCTTCCGTGTTCTGCAAACCATTCATTTGCAATGGACCTGGTAGTGGAGAAACGGTCCCTTAAGGCCAATAATCTTAGGCGGCAATCTTCACGGTCTGTTGTTCTACGACGGCGTCCAGTGCCCCTTGCTCTTTGTATACGGCCTTCTCGAAGCCATGCCTGACAACACCTAACCACAGTGTCTACACTTCTTTGCACTCTAACTGCAATTGCCCGAAAAGAAAGTCCAGCTTCCCGAAGTCCCACTATACGGCCCCTATCAAACTCACTAAGTTGACGAAATCGTACAGGTCTCCGTACTCTAGACATCGTAACCGATCGTAAAGGATGTCAATAACCAAAATCTGCCAACGTTGATTCTTTACTGCGGCTGAAATATTCATTTTTAGAGCGTTAGTGAATTAAAAAAAAGCACTATAAAAACCGGAATGTCCAACTGATAAGGCTGAAAATTTTTTAACTTGTTATTTACAGTAAGATAAATACATTCACCAACTTTTATTAAAATAAAACCATTTAAACTGGGTGTTCGGATTTATATGTCACTTAGTATATTATGTTTTTTTCCCTTTCCGGGAGTCGTCAGACCAAAGTGCCCGATGGCACTGCAGCTGAGGTATCCATCATAAGGCCCTACTTTGTGCAGGTCTTTTTTCAGGCCTTAATGTCCTGTTAGAAGTCCTGTAATGTAACTACACATAGTTGGTTTCTACCCATTGAGAGCAATTCCATAACCGTATTTGGACATGGTCCCCTCATGATTACATCCAGTCACCAAGGGCCGTATCGTCAGCGGTTCCTACAATTGAGGAGGTTGCGTTCAAAACCGCCTATACGAGGGATGTCTTTTAAGTTTTGCATATGGAAATAAAACAACACGGTAGGTAGTTTTAAATAATTTTATTGTTTTTCAAAGTATCACACATCTGCATGCGCTCGAACCAATTTTCGAAGCACTTATTCCACTCGTTTGCTGGCAGATCCAAAACGGCATTTTTGAATGCGTCAACTGCTTCTTCTGGTGACTGGAACCTTTGACTACGCAGTCTGTTTTAATTTTCGGCAAAGTAAAGAAATCGCTAGGACTTAGATCGGGACTATATGGAGGATGGTCCAATAATTCCACGTTTTCTTCCGTTGAATACTGCCTGGTTTTTTGGGCTGTGCGCGAGTTTGCATTGTCTTGGTGGAGGATGATTCTTCTTTAGGGGTTGATTTCTCGAAGCTCGGTGATGACTTTTGGCAAACAAATGGTGGTATACCAATCCGCAGTAACAGTTCTTTGCTGATGAAGAGGAATTGTTGCAATATGATACGCGTTTGACACAAATGTCGCGACCATCTTTTTCGAAACAGGTGGCGTATTCAATGAGAAACTAATTTTCTTACTCGTAATTCTTCATGTAAAATTTTTCGAATTGAGGTCTTTGATATCTTCAAGGACGCCTCAATCTCGCGATATATCACATGTCTATCTTCAATTATGAGTTTGCGCACAGTATCGACGTTTTCCTGGGTGACTGCCGTTTTTTGTGCACCCACCCTAGGATCGTCGCTAAGACTCACCCGTCCACGTTAGAATTTTCCATACCAACGGGAAATTGTCGACTGATGTGACGCTTCGTTGCTGAAAACAGACAGTAACCCAGCAAGGCATTCTTGTTGCGGTAATTGTCTCTGAAAGTTGTATTAAATTATGGCGCGAAAATGTTCTCGGTTGAGTTCCATTTTTCCAATGACTTGGTGACACTTAAAAATTCACTGTAGTAAGAACACTGCACGTACTGTTGTAAAACTTTAAATTTAAGTTTACTAAAGAGTGAGGTTAAGATCCAGTACTGACGTTCGATCCGCGCGGCCTACTATGCAAAACTTAAAGGACATCCCTCGAATCCATTGTGTTCAAAACCACCTATTTGGTGTGTTTAAATTGCATTCAAAGTTGCGGTTTTGCAACAAAACAGCATATATCTGATTTTCTGATCAAAACAGCCTATATCCAGGATCAGCTGTTCTGGATCGCGCACGCGTATAATCGGCTAATTATTGAAGCAACGAAAATCATGAACTTATAAGCATTGAAGAAGGAAATAAAGGCACAAGACGCCGGAAGAAAGGAGTGACAGCAAGACAATTAAAACAATCGACTAGGAAAGGGAGCGTTTTTAAGTTTTAATGTTATACTTAAGTTCTTAGCACGTTATTAGCACTTTCTTTTGAGCGAAATAGCCATAATAGTAGGGTATTCCATTTTTACAGATATGGGGACCTCGACCCTACTCTTCGGCATTTTAAGCGACGATGTGACGATAATAGAAAATCGTTCGAGTGTACTACTATAAGAAAACGATATATACGAGATTTAAGGAATCCGTTAGATATACAGGGTGTCCGCAAAGTTGGGGTTTTCCTTTTCAGAAACAACTACCCTTGAAATAACAAAGGTAATGTGTAGTGAAACGAGGGCGACCAAGTAAAAAAAATAAAGGAAAAAGCACTCACTCTCCAGTTGACGAGAAAGGCTAAGTACCTCTCTGCCCGAAATCATACCGCTCCAACAGAAAATGAAATCAGCTGATGCGCTACCGAGCAGACACAGACACCACATTGATTGTCTTACACTTAATGGCACATCTTCTAACAAAGAAGGCATAATGTTGCGTAAAAAGTCTAGGTATTGCATCCCGTCCAATCGATTTGGAAGAATAAATGGTCCAATGAGCATACCGTTCACCATGCCAGCCCAAACATTCACCGAAAATGTTTGTTGAACATGTGCTCGACGGAGGGCGTGCGGATTTTCTACTGACCAAACATGAGTGTTGCGAAAGTTATTCACCCCATTACGCGTGAACGTAGATTCGTCTGTCACCAATATGCACTTCAAAAAGTCCGGATTATTGTCATGTTGATGCAACCACCACTCACAAAACCACACTCTTGCTGGAAAATCGTCAGGTTGAAGGGCTTGTACACGTTGGACGTGAAATGGATACAGCCCCTCTTCACGCAGCGTTTGGCACACTTTAGTTTTTGATACTTGCACTTCTCTAGTGCTTGTTGAGGGATTCTCGTCTACGCGATTACCTCTATACGCGTGACCGTAACCGGCGGTTGAGGGTTGGATACTGACCTGACA